TGGGCCCCGGTCACAGAACCAAGGGATGGGCCCCGGTCACAGAACCAAGGGATGGGCCCCGGTCACAGAACCAAGGGATGGGCCCCAGTCACAGAACCAAGAGATCGGCCCCGGTCACAGAACCAAGAGATCGGCCCCGGTCACAGAACCAAGAGATCGGCCCCGGTCACAGAACCAAGAGATCGGCCCCGGTCACAGAACCAAGAGATCGGCCCCGGTCACAGAACCAAGGGATGGGCCCCAGTCACAGCACCAAGGGATGGGCCCCAGTCACAGAACCAAGAGATCGGCCCCGGTCACAGAACCAAGAGATCGGCCCTGGTCACAGAACCAAGGGATGGGCCCCAGTCACAGCACCAAGGGATGGGCCCCAGTCACAGAACCAAGAGATCGGCCCCGGTCACAGAACCAAGGGATGGGCCCCAGTCACAGCACCAAGGGATGGGCCCCAGTCACAGCACCAAGAGATCGGCCCCGGTCACAGAACCAAGGGATGGGCCCCAGTCACAGAACCAAGAGATCGGCCCCGGTCACAGAACCAAGGGATGGGCCCCGGTCACAACACCAAGGGTTGGGCCCCGGTCACAGCACCAAGGGTTGGGCCCCTTACAACACCCAACACACAGGGCTGCTTTATTTTCACTATTATTCAAAACTTTTTTTTATTTTCACAAGGTTAAATTCAGAAATAAATTTTAAAACAGACTAATTTTAACTATTTAACTATTTTAATTTATTATAAAATAAAAAATAAATTAAATAAGTGAATTATTAACATTAGTAATATAAATGTAAATAATAGCTACATTAAAATGTAGACTTCAAATATTTTTCAATTTTGAGCGGATGGGAATTCTGGTTTGTCGCTACAATCACATGGTCAGACTTCTCTGTGATTGGCTGCAGTGCTCAACAGACTTCTCTGTGATTGGCTACAGAGCTCAACAGACTTCTCTGTGATTGGCTACAGAGCTCAACAGACTTCTCTGTGATTGGCTACAGTGCTCAACAGACTTCTCTGTGATTGGCTACAGTGCTCAACAGACTTCTCTGTGATTGGCTACAGTGCTCAACAGACTTCTCTGTGATTGGCTACAGTGCTCAACAGACTTCTCTGTGATTGGCTACAGTGCTCAACAGACTTCTCTGTGATTGGCTGCAGTGCTCAACAGACTTCTCTGTGATTGGCTACAGTGCTCAACAGACTTCTCTGTGATTGGCTACAGTGCTCAACAGACTTCTCTGTGATTGGCTACAGAGCTCAACAGACTTCTCTGTGATTGGCTACAGTGCTCAACAGACTTCTCTGTGATTGGCTACAGAGCTCAACAGACTTCTCTGTGATTGGCTACAGTGCTCAACAGACTTCTCTGTGATTGGCTACAGTGCTCAACAGACTTCTCTGTGATTGGCTACAGTGCTCAACAGACTTCTCTGTGATTGGCTACAGTGCTCAACAGACTTCTCTGTGATTGGCTACAGAGCTCAACAGACTTCTCTGTGATTGGCTACAGTTCTCAACAGACTTCTCTGTGATTGGCTACAGTGCTCAACAGACTTCTCTGTGATTGGCTACAGTGCTCAACAGACTTCTCTGTGATTGGCTACAGAGCTCAACAGACTTCTCTGTGATTGGCTACAGTGCTCAGCGCTGCAAACAGGAACGCTTGTAAACGTGGACCGTTTGAATGCAGCGTCTATCTGCGCGCAGGGACGTGAACAGGAATTTCGAGGGGCAGTTACTCTGACCTGAAAAAAGACCCCCAAGTTAGAATAACAGGGTCTTTATCAAAATATATATACAGCACTCAATCACCTTAACTACTACTAATAATCACACAGAAAAACATGGTTCTCACACTCCAGTAATATTTCTGTGAATTGAATTAATCTTGTACTTGTTCATAGTTTTTGTATTATATCTGAATATATTCAGTTGAATTTTGCCCATACAAATTGCCTTATCTGACCGTGTTTATGTCCAAACTCAATGCCTCATATTAAGGTCTTATTATTATTTATAAAGATTACAAAACGTCAGAGATGACAGGTTTATGATATACAACTTTGTAAACAGTATACAAAATGTATTAACAATATGTTAAATGTCAGCAAAATATACATGAGAAAAAGAGTTCCTCATATTATTGTTTATTGTTTTTTAAAATTTTTATTTATTTATTTTTAATTTTTTTAAATTGGAAAAGAAATAATCTGTATTGAATTGACAGATGGGGAAAAACTCGCTTCTAATAAAAAAATAAAAAAATAAAAAATAAACGCTTTTGGCTTCCCGTACATCCAGTTGTGCTTCTTGCTCGTATCTGGTTCTGATGGTACGTATGGTAACTGGGCAACTACGCATGATTTGTAGTATGATTGCGTAAAGGGAACAGGAATTCCGGTAGGGAACAGAATCGACGGCTACACCGGTCCACGGAAACAGAGTTTGCCCTTCCCCTACTGACTTTCGCTTCCGGTGCCCGAATGGAAGTGAATGAGGCTTTGCGATTTTTTGTTATCTAGGCCTACGTGAAATTCTGCATACATTGTACGATTTATTTATTTATTTATTCCCCCTCGGAAGGGCAACGTGAGTCGAGAAGGGCATATGGGCAGTTGCCTGGGCAACCTGAGCACCCCCCCATATTTTTTCTTGTCCCTATTTTTTAAATGTTTTAAGAATGTTTTTTCTTGGTTGTGAAAGTTAAGGGAACGTTCCTTTGTATCATTCTTCAAACATTGTGCAATGTTACTTTTGAATGTTCTCTGAACGTTCTGAAACAATTAGCAACATTTAAGAAATACTAACTGAAACATTTCAGGGGGAAAAAAATGTTCCTCAAATGATTATTAAAGACCAGATAACTTTAAATTAATGTTCTATTGGCGTTACTGGAGGAACGATTGTTCATAACTTTGAGAGAACGTTCTGAGAATGTTTCCTGTTAGCTGGGTTCAGAAATCTAAATGTTCCTGGTGTTACTGTGAATCATCATTATTCACCTGCCCCCTCTAACCAATCCCTCAGCTCTCAGTCTCCACTAATCTCTCATCCGCACGACAGCGCCTGACTGAAACACACCAGAAACATCATGACTGTCTGAAGAACATCATCTGAAGCTGCACATCAAGGGTCTCGAGGTTTAGTTAACAAGAAACTGAACTTCTTATGCGTTTTGGCCATTCATTTACACAACAACCGCCTGAACGTTTGAAAACAGTGATGTCATCAGTCGTAGAGTTTCTTCACAGAGTGATATCGCCAACTACTGGCCTGAACCGAAAACAGCGATTTTAGTCGTTTTCGCAGATCAGTACATGGTTGTGGTGTAAACGAACTCTTAGTGTAATGGCCACAAACCCTTCGTGAAGTGCTCAGATGGAGATACTGTATCAGAAGTAGAAGTAGCAACGGATCACAAAATTCATGGTTAGGATCATTTACGGTTTTTGAGCCACGGATCGGATCATTTTTCGGATCAGAATTTTTTTATTTATATATATTACTTAAAGCTCACTTGAAGTTCTTCAATACTACATCAAAAACTACTAGCCTAACTGATAATGCTTAAATGTAAAATAACACTATTTGTTCACTGTAGAAATTAAATATAGTTTCATCTTTGTTAAAGCTGTATTTTGTTGTTTTATTAACATTAATGACAGACGACAGTAGGAACGTTAGGCTGTTGTCCCTTTAAGACCGAATGCACAGACCAAATATACTGACAAACATCCGGTTTCTTTCTCAATTGTTCACTTTAGACATAATCTAGAGAATACTTGGCAAGATGGGTATTTAGACGGGTATTTAGACATAATTTTGTGTGCATGTGTCTTTCAAGGGCAAGGAAACACGGAAGACGAATCATTCTGTGTTCGAGCGCTATCAGAAACTGGCAAGACAAAACACGTCCAAATGAGGGTTAAATTTAATAGTTAAAGGGATACTCCACATTTTTTGGAAATAGGCTCAATTTACAACTCCCCCAGAGTTAAACTGTTGAGTTTTACCGTTTTTGAATCCATTCAGCCGATCTCCGGTTCTGGCGTTACCACTTTTAGCATAGCTTAGCATACATCATTGAAGTGGACAAGACCATTAGCATTTCTCATTAAAAAATGACCAAAGAGTTTCGATATTTTTCCTATTTAAAACTTGACTCTTCTGTAGTTACATCGTGCACTAAGACCGAAGGAAAATGTAAAGTTGCGATTTTCGTCGTAATGATATGACGCAGCGCCTGAAAATAGTTCCGTTGTGTTGACGGAAGGTGGCCTATTTTCAGGCGCTGCGTCATATCATTACGCCTGCTGCTCTCACGGTACGGCAGTGAAGTTTCTTGATTATTACGCAGGAATGAGAGTATAGTTCCTAGCCATATCAGCCTAGAAAATCGCAACTTTACATTTTCCTTCGGTCTTAGTGCACGATGTAACTACAGAAGAGTCAAGTTTTAAATAGGAAAAATATCGAAACTCTTTGGTCATTTTTTAATGAGAAATGCTAATGGTCTTGTCCACTTCAATGATGTATGCTAAGCTATGCTAAAAGTGGTAACGCCAGAACCGGAGATCGGCTGAATGGATTCAAAAACGGTAAAACTCAACAGTTTAACTCTGGGGGAGTTGTAAAATGAGCCTATTTCCAAAAAAAGTGGAGTATCCCTTTAATTCGCGAACTGCGGGGCAGCTGATCCGTACAGATCACGACCACCTGCGATCCGTTGCACCCCTAATCAGAAGCACTGGGTGAAATAAGCGAGTGATCTGTCACCCCAGGCGTCGGTGAAGATGTTCTCCTGGCAGGTGGTCCAGAGCCCCGCATGGAAGGAGGGGAAGATGAAGCTGTCGTCGCCGGTCTCCCAGGAGAAGGAGCCGTCCATCACGCCGGACACCGGGGTGCACTTGAGCCGGCGGGCAGGCGAGCACAGCGGCTTGGGCACCTTCTGCTGGCCCACGCACCAGTGCGAGGAGGAGAGCGAGAGCAGCGACAGCAGCAGAGACAGCAGCGTCTGCAGGAAGGAGAGGCGCGGAGAGCGCAGGAGCGAGAGCACCGACATACTGCGGACACACACAGAGAGAGAGAGAGAGAGAGAGAGGGATTACAGACATGCTGCGGACACACACACACAGAGAGAGAGAGAGAGAGAGGGATTACAGACATGCTGCGGACACACACACACAAAGAGAGAGAGAGAGAGAGAGAGAGAGAGATCACAGACATGCTGCGGACACACAGAGAGAGATCACGGCCCATACTCGATCTCAAGCTGTTCTTCATATTCACAACTCAACATTTCTCACATACACCATTCTGCCTTAAAGGTTACCAAATCTATCAATTCATACACAAATTACATTTTCAATCTACTTTCCATCACTCCCCCTGTACCCAGTAGTTAGTTTTTCCTTGTTTGCAGGGTGGGTCAGAGAGCTGGTGGAGTAGAGCGAGTATTAATGAGCGTCATCTGCGCGCCACACCAGCCCCGAGTCCCACGGATGAGCTCTGGAAGGGTAAAGCAGGAGAGACGACAGGGGAAGGTCCCGAGTCCCACGGAGGAGCTCTGGAAGGGTAAAGGAGGAGAGACGACAGGGGAACTACCCGAGTCCCTCGGAGGAGCTCTGGGAGGGTAAAGGAGGAGAGACGACAGGGGAAGGTCCCGAGTCCCACGGAGGAGCTCCGGAAGGGTAAAGGAGGAGAGACGACAGGGGAAGGACCCGAGTCCCACGGAGGAGCTCCGGAAGGGTAAAGGAGGAGAGACGACAGGGGAAGGACCCGAGTCCCACGGAGGAGCTCTGGAAGGGTAAAGGAGGAGAGACGACAGGGGAAGGACCCGAGTCCCACGGAGGAGCTCCGGAAGGGTAAAGGAGGAGAGACGACAGGGGAAGGTCCCGAGTCCCACGGAGGAGCTCCGGAAGGGTAAAGGAGTAGAGACGACAGGGGAAGGACCCGAGTCCCACGGAGGAGCTCCGGAAGGGTAAAGGAGGAGAGACGACAGGGGAAGGACCCGAGTCCCACGGAGGAGGTCTGGAAGGGTAAAGGAGGAGAAACGACAGGGGAAGGTCCCGAGTCCCACGGAGGAGCTCTGGAAGGGTAAAGGAGGAGAGACGACAGGGGAAGGACCCGAGTCCCACGGAGGAGCTCCGGAAGGGTAAAGGAGGAGAAACGACAGGGGAAGGTCCCGAGTCCCACGGAGGAGCTCTGGAAGGGTAAAGGAGGAGAGACGACAGGGGAAGGACCCGAGTCCCACGGAGGAGCTCTGGAAGGGTAAAGGAGGAGAGACGACAGGGGAAGGACCCGATTCCCACGGAGGAGCTCCAGAAGGGTAAAGGAGGAGAGACGACAGGGGAAGGACCAGAGTCCCACAGAGGAGCTCTGGAAGGGTAAAGGAGGAGAGACGACAGGGGAAAGACCCGATTCCCACGGAGGAGCTCCAGAAGGGTAAAGGAGGAGAGACGACAGGGGAAGGACCAGAGTCCCACAGAGGAGCTCTGGAAGGGTAAAGGAGGAGAGACGACAGGGGAAAGACCCGATTCCCACGGAGGAGCTCCAGAAGGGTAAAGGAGGAGAGACGACAGGGGAAGGACCCAATTCCCACGGAGGAGCTCTGGGAGGGTAAAGGAGGAGAGACGACAGGGGAAGGACCCAATTCCCACGGAGGAGCTCTGGGAGGGTAAAGGAGGAGAGACGACAGGGGAAGGACCCAATTCCCACGGAGGAGCTCTGGAAGGGTAAAGGAGGAGAGACGACAGGGGAAGGACCCAATTCCCACGGAGGAGCTCTGGGAGGGTAAAGGAGGAGAGACGACAGGGGAAGGACCAGAGTCCCACAGAGGAGCTCTGGAAGGGTAAAGGAGGAGAGACGACAGGGGAAGGTCCCGAGTCCCACGGAGGAGCTCTGGAAGGGTAAATCAGGAGAGACGACAGGGGAAGGACCCGAGTCCCACGGAGGAGCTCCGGAAGGGTAAAGGAGGAGAGACGACAGGGGAAAGACCCGATTCCCACGGAGGAGCTCCGGAAGGGTAAAGGAGGAGAGACGACAGGGGAAGGACCCAATTCCCACGGAGGAGCTCCGGAAGGGTAAAGGAGGAGAGACGACAAGGGAAGGCAGAACTTCAAGTTGTGAAACTGTCGATTTCTTTAGTTTTGTTTATTTTATCAAAGTTTCGTTGAACGTTCGCAGGTTCCCGCCTCCTCCCCAGTAAGCAATAGCCGTCATTTCTCCGGCTATGAGTAACACACTTCTAGACAAAATAACCTTGAATTTGGTTACATGTCGGTTTTGCCAAAATAACTTTTGAGATGTATGATATTCCATCATGTAAGCAAAGTCAACAGTGATTACAAGGTGTTTGGTTTAATTCCTTCACTCATTTCATTTCTTTATTATCTCATGTCTATTCTTGGGCGATGGTTTAGACGTCTATTAAATTTTCACTGACAGCCCAAATTTTGCCTTGTTTTAGCCTAGACGTCTTTTAAACACGAAATTGCTTGCTGGGTCCTTACCTGAGCCTTGAACATCGTTACAAACTATTTCCATACACTCAACTTTATACTTTGTGCCTCCTATATAAACCTTATCTGCACTATTGGATGAGTTTGCACCTTTGAGAGAACGGGTTGTTACACTTAGGAAACCCTGTCCATGGGACACTGCTGGGTCACGCTTAATGAAAGCTGCTGAAAGCCAGTACAAAACATCTGGTGTAACGGTTCATAGGCTTAAGTACACTCAACAACAGTCTGTCTATCATTCTAGCAAGGATTATTATTCAGAAATTGTCGGTGATGCTGCAATTCATCCTGTTGACAAACTTCTTAAACCAGTTAAGCATATCGTTCACTCTTCTGTTGATCAGTGCAATACAGTCCTTAATTACTTCACCGGTAAGATTGACATATACAATCCCGGTACTCAGCCTTTAACATAAACTTTTCTAACTTTGAAATGATTGGAATTGACTCTATTGTGAGAACAGTAAAGTCCATGAACTCTACCAACAGTATTCTAGATCACTTCCCTGTTCAGTTATTCAGAACTATCTAGCGTCAATTCGTCCTCATATAACACCAATTGTAAACATCAAAAGTTCTGGATCTGTTCCTTCAGAATTGGAAATAGCTGCCATTACACAGTCTCCTTGAACCTTTCCACTCTGGCTTCGGACTAGAGAGCGTCGTGCACGATCTTCTTACGGCAGCTGATCCTGGTCAGGTGCATGGTGTCATTTATGATCCTCAGCTGATATTTGATGCACATATAAAACATCTCAAAGATCGCCCTCTATCATCTTAGGAACATTTCACGACCCTGCCGATGCAGAAAGGCTCATCCGCGCCTCCATCGTGTCTAGGTTAGGATCGTGTGCTAACCCGTTCCTCTCTCCGGGAACAGCACAGTTGCACTGGCACTGATTATAGCATTACATGGGACAGCACCAGCGTATCTTTATGATCTTATTAGTCCATACACTCGTTCACGTTCTCTCCGTTCTGCCAACTCTCTTTTACTTCATCAGCCTTCATGTAAACTCAAGAGCTTTTCCATTTAAAGCCCCAAGATAATGGAGTTCGCTTCAATATGCTTAAGATGCATTTATTCAAGGTTGTTTTTAATTAATTTATTGTTTTGTTCTCTACTTGTTGTGTTTGTTTTTATTTCACTGGGTTAAATAAAGTGCATTACAAATAAAATGCATTATTGTTGTTATTATTATACCTAAAACACCAAACCATTCGGTTAACAATCTGAAAAGCCAATACAAAACACAAATAGGTGTTCCCCGGAAAGAGATACAGAACAGAAAAAAGAATGAAATGACAAATGAAAGAATGAATAAAAGAACAAATTAACAAAGATGAACAAGAATGAAAGAATGAATTTTTCTTTAAATGATAGAAACAAAAGAAAATTGAAAGAAAAAAGCAAGCGTTATTTTAACGAGCATCGTAAATCAGACTGACCTTATTAAAGCGAATGGTGGATCTCCATCCTTCAGATGTGTCTTACACACACATGCATTTCAGAAACAGTGAAATATGACATCCAGCATCTCTGAATGACACACACACACACACACACACACACACAGGATTAACCTGAGCTTTAATCTGTCAATCTGTTCAAGATCAGCGACACACACTCACACTGACACAATGAACTTTAATCAGTTCTTACACACACACACACTGACACAATAAACTTCAATCAGCTCTAAAACACACAAACACTGACACAATGAACTTAAATCTGTTCTAACACACACACAAACACAATGAACTTCAAATCAGCTCTTACACACACACACACACACACACAGTCTTAATGTCATCATTTCACATACATTGAGGCAGAAAGGGCTGCTCAGGAAAAACGCTAATGTCAGATTATACTCTGCATCTCTAACACACACTCATAGCAACACACGTCTGCATCCGTCATAGTTCAGTTATATTTGATCAACTTCTCTTTAATGTGTTTCTATTACAGAGCTGATTATGCTTTAAAGCTGCAGTGCGCAGGTTTTCCTCTTTGTCGCCATCTCTGTTCGAAATCTGCAATTGCAGTCATTCGCGGAATTATCAGCTTTACGTGAGTTGCACTTCAGCACCCTCGGCACGGCACCGCGCGGAGGAACACAGTGTTAGAGGAGAGTGTGTGTGTGTCAGTCGCCGCCGGTGTGATACTGGCGTTCAGAATTACAGATTATTCTTTTTGGAAGTTTGACCAACATAAGAGTTTTCACCGGAAAATGTCTGAACAAGTAAGAAACATCCACTGTTGTTCTGGTTCTGACATCGCAGTAAATCGCGCTGATTAAATCTAACAATCGCTTATAAGTTATCATATCACGCAAAACCGTGCAAATTATTCTTTGTTCTCATATTGTTAATAGAATAGAATATTTATTTGTCATTGTAACGAGTACAACGAAATTAAGTACAGTCCTTGTCAGGTACCAACCATCTAAAACAACTAAAATACTGCTAC